TCAACTTAAGCGCAGCCGGCAAGGAGCTCCTTGGGCGCCAGCCCCCGCCCCGGCGGTGGGGGAGGGGCAGCCCAGCCCTCGCCGGAGGGAGGGGGCGGGGGGCGCATTTGTCTCTAATAAGAAAAGACAAAGACATCCCGGCGGCCGCGCCTGTTCCCGCAGCTCCGCTCCGCCTGAGGCGGGGGAGACTGTCGTTCCTGGGGCCCGGTCATCGCCTGTCCCCCGCAGGTGCTGCCCGCCGCCACCATGACCGAGGGCGCGCTGCCGGCGGACGAGGTCCGAGTGCCCCTGGGCGCGCCTGCCCCGGGCCTTGCGGTGGCGGCGGGGGCGTCCCCGGCGAGTCCTGGGGCGCCGGGGCAAGAGACGGAGCGTGGGTCCGGGCTCCGTGCATCGCCCCCCGAGAGCCCGGCAGCAGAGCGCAGCGCGGAGCTGGGCGCCGACGAGGAGCAGCCCGTCCCGTACCCGGCGTTGGCGGCCACTGTCTTCTTCTGCCTTGGGCAGACCACGCGGCCGCGCAGCTGGTGTCTCCGGCTGGTCTGTAACCCATATCCTTCCCGAGCCGCCAGGGTGCGGGTATTCCGTGCGTGACACTCATTCAGCGTGCATTCCCGTGCGCCCAGGCTCCTTGGACCCGGCTCGGGCCGGGCGCGTGGGGGCGCAGGGTAGGGACGCAGTGGCAGCGCTTCTCCAAGAGAGTTGGCCCGGTCCACGCTTTGGGGGACAGCCAGGCATCTCCCCCCTCAAATGGGTGTCCCCGGTCCAGAGCCAGCTCATTACGGGAGGGGATGGAAGAGTAACAGCGAGGCCACCGCGGGATTGGAGGGGAGAGGAGTCGTCAGGGGAGATTGGAACTCCCGGAGCGTTCGTGGGCTGCAATCAGGAGAGTTTTCGCTAGGCTTAGAGAACTTATGCCCTGAGGCAGGACCCTCGCTGGGGAGGGATAGGCCGGAAGGAGCTAGTGTAAAGGAGGCAAAGTTTTCAGCCTGTGTCTTGCGCGTCTCAGCGCTGCTTCAGGAGACCCGTGGGAGCCGGGAAGCTGTGCTCGTTCGCCGGCCTTTTACACGTTCCACGGAGAGAGGCAGTGACGTTGGTTGTGAACTCGCTTTTTTGGGCTGAACTCAGTGCTGGGGCCGATTTAAGTCATGCGCAGCTGGGGGTGGGGGGCAGGGAGGCAGCTGGCACCCTGGAGCCCCTTTTTCAGGTACTTTCTCTGGGTGTTTTTTCTGGCTTGAAAGAGGAAAGGACCACTTTTTGTGTTCCTGGTCAGAGCAGCACAGACTTTGAAGATTCCAGAGCAGAGCTGGATCTGTGCAGGAGGCATTTCTGGGATACAGGCATCAGGTCTGCTGCCCCCCAGCAGGTGGCCTTTGGGGAGTGTCAGCTTTGGTTCATCCTGACTCCTGGCTAGTTCTCCACACTGGTCTGCTGATAGAGCTGGTTGTCAGGTGGCCCCGCTGTGGATGCTGAGCCTTCCTGCACGTGGACCTGGAGGGAGTTAAGGTCCTGGACGGACTGCTGAGTAGAGGAGGTTGCCAGAAGTGGAAGCTTGTACATAAACTTTTCTTGTCAGAGTTGGGGAGACAGAGGTGAAATGAGCAATGTGTGTATATATTTTTCTTACCTTGTATGTTTAATTGTATAAATATTGAATACAAAAGAGGAACCTGTACTAAAAAAGTAATAAAACTCATGTTTCTTTTCTCAAGTCCAAACATGGGCTGAGTCAGAATCGCTTTCTGGTTGTGAAGGAGGTAGTGGTGGTCCAGGATGCTGGGTCCAGGATGGTGGGTGGTGGCTGTAGGGCCTGCCCAAGGCATAGCAGCAGGCTTCAGTGCCTGCCTTAGTCCTTGCAGCCAGTAGGTGGGCATCCTGGGGTATTGGGGCTTGGGTCTCTGAGCAGCAGCCAGCCTGAGTTTTCAGGGTGACTGTAGGTGTGTTTTTTTCCTCCAGAACCCAGCCTGGAGATGGCTGGGCCATTTTGTTTTGGCAGGAAGGTGGCATGGCTGGGTGTGGTGGTGGGCAGCTCCTGAAGGCCCGGGGACAGACAGAATAGGAGGCCAGCCCTCCTCGCGTGTCAGTCATTTCCAGCACAGATACTAGATCGGGAAGGAGCCTATTGAGGCCTGCACTTTCTCTCTCCTGACAGCCCCTGGGCCTGGCTCCTTTGTCCCCTCAAGGCTGAGGGAATCTTTAAGCCTGTCCTGATGTTCTGGGTGTTCAAGGCGGAGCTACGTTCCTGAGGATGTCATGTCTAACAGGGTTGTTTGTGTTACTCAGTGGAGGGGAGGTGGTGGGGGTGCTCCTTATGCAGGTTGGGTGAGGCCCAGAGGGGGCAGGGGATGGGGCTGGTTGGACCACTTCCTGATGTCTCTGTCCCTGGACATACTCATGACTGGAGAAGAAAGATGCCCTGTGGCCCAAGGAGCAGGAAGGTGCTGATGGCTGTCAACTAGGGATGAGAACCGTCCCCTCTGACAGGCAAGGGGTTGAGGAGCTTAGATTCTAGGATAGTTTTACTCCAGAGTCTCTCGAAACACCATATCTGTCCATTAGGGTGGGCTTGTCAGGGCCCCCGCCCATGTGGGGATGGCTGCTGATCTCCAGCAGATGCCAGGCCCTGGCTGGGGGTGTGTGTCAGCCACAGGGAGAACCTAAAATAAGCTGGCGTGCTTGGACAGGTGGGGATCAGCTCCCTTGGGGAAGCCCATGGGGCCTCAGCAGGGGCTTCAGATTCCTGGGAGTCGGGGTGGCCTTGGCAGGGAACACCGGGGGATGGAGGTCCGTGTAGCTGGGTTTTCCAGGGATTGTGGCGTGTCCTGTGGCTGCATGGTGCATCTGAAATCTCAGTTATCCCTCCCTGCAGGTAGCTGTTCATGTCAGGACACTCACCGTCCTTCCTGGAACCTCCCCGGCTGCAGAGGGTAAACTTGGAGCCCAAAATAGGATAATGGTGTTTACTCTGGGAACCTACACTGTGTGAAGCAGCACCTTGCTCCCCAAATGATGGCAGAATCCCAGCCTATGTCCCCGAGCTGGGATGCCATTGGCATTTTGAATGAAGGAACGGGCCTGCCTTAAGCCTTGCACTTTTCTGGAATCCCTGAGTGGAGGGCCTTCCCGCACACGTGAACACAGATGTTCTGTTTTTGCCTTTGGGAGACTGATCCAAGGTGAAGGAGTCTCCGAGGATGGCCTCTACCTTTATTGATTTACTTTGCTGTTTGAAACTGTAATTGTGGTGGAAGTTTTGGGGCGAGTGCTGTTTCTCCTACACAGGTTTATTTATAGCAGAAGGTGGGTGGGATCTGTGTTGTAGCTGTACAGCTGGGTTACGTTATGGCCGGGCTCCCCTGGGGTTCCTGACTAGGCACTTGACTGTGTCGCAGCTGCTGCATCCCAGCACCTAGGCTGGGCGGAGTCCCCCAGGGATGCTGGCAGCTGGGAAGGGGGCCCCGCTGAGGTTCTCTTATGAGTGAGGGAGACTGGCTTTGGCTTGGCCAGGGTTTTTAGGGACTAAGAGGTGGCCAAGAGGGCACTTGGGGACTCAGGGATGATGGGCACCTCCAGGAGGTGTCTCCCACCTTCTCTCTCATGGAGAAGGCAAAAGACAAGCCAAGGTCATGTGGCTGCAGAGGGCAGATCTGGGTGAATCCAGCCTGACTCTCAAGTCCACGTGCTTAGCAGGGCCCTGCCAGCCAGGGAGGTGAGGTTGGACGAATCCAAGTCTTTAAAAGCATCTTGTAAAAACTGATTCTCTGAACCATCATACCTTTTGTGGTTGCTGCCAGTGCCCAGGGATCATGGCAGGCGTGGCTGTCCCGGTGAGGACACGTGGGGCAGTGATCTGGAAAAGGACAGGCCCTAGGCTGTCCTCACCTGCCTCCCTGTGCCCTCAGCTCTCTCTGCCTTCACAGACCTGATGTGAGTGGGTAGGTCCCACGTACTCACCTTTCTGATCTAATGACCCTTGACTTCTGAGCACTTCTGCCGTAGGCACAGGGCTTTCCTCGCATGTTCTGAGCCCCAGCACCTCGTTCCTGGTCCTTTTATCCTGGCACCAAGGTGTCTGTTTCCTTGAACTCAGAGGCTCCAGGCCCTTGAACTCAGAGGCTGACCTTTGGGGTGCTCACAGGCAGGCACTGGGTGGCCTGGGCAGATAGGAAGGCCATCAGGCCCCCATAGAATTGTGGAATGTGGGAGCAGAGGGGCGGGAGGGGACTAGGAGGGTCTGGGCTCTGTGGCCGATGCTCATGGCACTACCGTGACTCCCTCTGAAGACATTACAGCATGTGTGTCTCTGCTTCTGAAGCCACCACTGTTACCTCATTCTCTGAGGGCTCCTGTGTTCACGCTGAGCACTGATTGTGTGCGCGGAGGGGAAGGGCATGTTCCTGGCCTCCAGGGCTTGGCAGGGGCAGGGTGTGGAAGTAAAGACATCTCGGCTAAGAGAGGAGTGTCTTGGTGGGGGGCTTTGTGGGGAGGAGGCATTTCTCCTGAGAGCTGGGGAGGGGATGGTGGGGAGATCTCTGGGCACCTGCAGGTGGTGGGGTAAGCAGAGCCCCGTTCCTGGGTGGCCACTCCTGGAGGGACTGGTGGAGGGGCCTCTGGACAGAAGCCTGAGCTCCCATTGACCCCTGAGTGAGAGCAGGGCTGTGTGATGGGCATCCTCCGGGTTCCGTGGAATGTAATAGGGCTGTTCAGGGGGGTTTCTGGAGGAGGTGAGGCTGGGTTGGACCACGTACTTGGATAGGAGCTGGTGGTAGAGAAGGAACGGGAAGGTTCTTCGGTGGTTCTAAAGGATTTGTTTCTGACAAGAAGGCAAAAAGGCGCGATTGTTGGGGACCTTGCACTGGTCACAGGCTCAGATCTGTGCCTGCGTTGGCCCTTGGGGTGGGCAGGGTGTGGAAGGGGGAATTAGTATGAGCAAGTATGAGTATGGGCAAGGTTTTGTCTGCCTGAAAGGGACCTGACTTCCCTGTCTGTCACTTTTAGTGCCTTGAAACTGCCCAGGAAGAATCCTGGCTGAGCCCCAACTCTCTCCACAGTGGCCTCAACTTCTGGCCTTGCCCACTCCCCCACCCAGGCACCCACAGGGCCCAGAGCCAGGCAAGCAGTTGGTGCCCCTAGAACTTACTGGCGGTCTGATTAGTCAGCGGAGACCAGGAAGCTCTGATTAAGTGCCCTGCGCGTGTGGTGCAGTGAGGCCAAGTGTAGCCCCTGCCCCCACATCTGCTGCCCAGCTGAACTCTGAGGAGGCTTTGTGTGGGGGGAGGGGGAGACTTAGAGGAGTGGTGCAGAACAGGACAGGCTTCTTTGAACACTCTGTAAAAGGGGGCCTCACTCAGCAAACCTTTACCAGCCTGAGCTTTGTGCTGTCCTCTATGCTGGGCTCACCGTGGGTTACCCTACAGGCACGCAGCAGGACTCTGCAAGCTCCTGTGTGCCCAGCATGTCCAACTGTTGGCCGTTCTGCAGTAGAGTGAGGCTGGAACGATCTCCATGGGGGTACTTGGGAGGGTAGGATGGGCTAGATGGAGGCCATTGG